TTGAATTTTAGTTTTTTATTATATGTTTTGAAAATTTACTTACTGTGTTTCGTTAATAATTTCCCAGTGATTTCTTCCTAAAACCTATCATTTAAGTTTCTTAATTGAACAATTCAATTTTTTAATATTAAAAATTATGTATATGTTACATAGGGGGCATAAGAATTTTAGAAGGGCTTAGGTGGGGCATGGCACAAAAAAGGGTGGGAAACACTGCTCTAGACGAACATATTCAAGATTTACATGAAGTGTTTTTGTTTCTAAAAGAAACAGGGTTTGAAATAAATGTGTCCAAATGCAAATTTGTGGCAAAAACTTACATACGATATCTCAGAAAAAATCAAGACGGAAATTCCAAAATAGTTTCAATAAAAACAAAGATTTTGCCCATAGAACTGAACCATTGTTAAAACTTAAAAAGAAAGAAATCCAGGTTTACCTCATAAACCTAAGTAAACACAGCATTCCAAAGATTAAAAGCTGCATTGAATCAAGCACCAGTATTAAAATTCTTTGATGCCAATGGGGCATTAGAAATCGTTGCAGATGTATCAGATTTCGTGGTAGAAGCCATGCTAATGCAAGATGGACCGCCAGTGGCACATTTTAGTAACACACTTAATACAGCTCAAAGAAATTATATGACTACAGAAAAAGAAACATTAGCTTTTCTTGTGGTGATTTAGAAATTTGGAGTTTATTTTGGGAAATCAGCAGTAAATATTTAAACAGATTATGATGCCTTGGTTCATTCGTACACCAGGAAGAATTTATTACCAAGACTAATCAGATGGGCCTTAACATTCAAGAATACAATTTAATATGTAAAAATACTTCCAGGGAAGAAAATGTACTGATAAATGTTTGGTCAGTATTTAAATTAGATGAAAAGGGAATGACCTCAAATCTGCTATGTTAACTTAAAAAATTTTAGATTCTTGGGAAGCAATCTGAGTTATAAAGAGACCCAGAATTAAAAAATATTTATGCTTACTTGGATCCTGATCATTTTGAACACCAGGATATATTGGTTATCAGAAACAGAGCTGCAAATTATGAAATTATATACAATGCTTTGTATTATTCCAAAGTAACAACAAAAAAATGATGAATTAAGACCAGTTATCCCAGTAAGTTTGAGATTTAGCTGGAATTACATGATGTGCCAATTTCAGGCCATCTCGGGATAAGAAAAATGGTGCAGCACATTTGAGCACATCTGTTTTCCACAGCTACAAAAATTTGTTAGTCAGTACAACAAGTCTTGTAACATCTGAAAATTAGTTAATGGTGTTAAGCCTGGTTGGGTATCTAAATAGCATAAAAGCAACATCCGATAATGAATTAATAGGAATTTGCTTTTTAGGTTCATACCCACATAGTGAGGTTAACAAAAATAGATATTTACTCATTATCACAGATCATTTTTGAAAGTGGGTAAAAACAGCTTTCCTCAAAAGAGCTTCTGCTAAAACTGTTTCAAATTCTTTTTTTTAAATAAATTTAAATAAAAATATGATGCTCCCCAAAAGGTAATTTCAGATAATGGAAAGCAGGTTGTTAATCAAATATTTGAGAATTTATGTTCAGGACTTGTTCGGCACTTTAAGATGTTTCTTTACTGCCCACAATCAAATATTGCAGAACAGGTGACTAGCAATATTGTTAAAATCATTTGCAGCTACATAAAAAACTATCATAAATGCTTATGGGATAGCTATGCCAGTGAATTCACATTTGCCTTGAGGACAATTAAGCATGATACTACCAGAAGGACAGCAACTGAATTATGTTTCTTGGCAAAAAGTTAATTACTAATTTTAATAAACTATTTTTTTGTTCAAAAGGCAGCTGAGGAATTTAAGATGGCAGACATCCAGGACTTGATGGCTAAGGTAACCACAAAATGTGATGAGGCTTGAGTGAAGCAAAAATTTTATTATGATAAAAAAAAAGGCAGAAATTTGATTTTAAGGTGGGAAATAAAGTTTTGAAAATTAAACATTCTCTTTCATGTGTCCCTCAAGATAAAGTGAGGAATTTTGCAACAAATGTGAAGGACCATTCTTGATTGAATGAAAGTGAGGGTTTACTTGAAAACTCCAACTGGAGAATCATTAAAAGCAAATGCGGATCAAATTAAGTGCGATTACAAGCACACAAATATGCCTCTTTTAAAAGATATTTTGCAAGCAGCACTTGGTATCAAAAATGAAGAGCCAGCTGGAGGCTGGAAAAGGTAAAAGAGAAAAGAAAAGACCCAAGTACGAGAGCCAAAAGAAACCAGTCTGCCAGAGAAACAGGGATCCATACAACTGAATTTAAAAAAAAAAATAAAAAAAAAAAAAAAAACGTTTCTAGGCAGACAGGAAAGTTGCATGGATCCAAGGAGCATTCAAGTAATTAACAATGACCAGGAGGACACCAATTTACGAGGAATCAGGTGATGACAGAAGTTTGGAGTGACAGAGAAAAGTAAGTTACCTATAGCAGAATTAAAATGGAAAACACTTGTGGATGATGAACACTGCTGCAATGGAGAACGTTTCAAAGAAAGCTTGCGATGACACAGCGAATAGGAAGCTCAGCCCATGAAGTCCCATGAAAATCAACGGAGGCTGCCTACAGCGAGGCCAGAAGCAACAAAGTAGCTGGCATTGGCAGAATTTCTCTGGCTGGAAAGAAAGTCTACCAGGATCTGCAAAAAAGCTCTGAAGTGGAAAACTACAGTGCCCCCAGAAGCTGAGCAGCGGCTGTACCAAAAATTATCAATTCAACATATGGTCACGTATCCCTTCATGGAATGGATTTTGCAGAAAAGAATGCAAGAGCATCATTGACGCAAAAGATAAGCGAAATTAATTTTCTTTTAAGTATTCGGTTTTGGTTTTAAATCTGAGTTCAGAAGTTGCTGATTTTGAGTTTTTCCTCAAGTGAGAACATTTTAGATGTTTACACATCAAGAAGCTTTTTAATTTAATTGTGTAGTATTAGAATGGTTTTTTAATGTAAAAATGAAATTTTGCCTTTAGTCCAAGAGACTGCTTTGAGAAAGTTGGCATATTTGTAGAACAGATATAAGTAACTTCTATACACACTGATATAAAGTGCAAATTGGGAAATCTTCTGAATATAAATTATTTGTAATGAAGTATGTTTGCTTAATTATTTTAGTAAACATAGAAGTTTTATGTTAACTATGTCTCTGTAGTTAAAATTAGGCTCTCCAATCAGCACTAAAGTTTAATAAAAATTTTAATCTTGGCACATTAGGATTAGTTTGATTTTATAGTGTTTGTTGAAGTCTAGCGTGTCTAAGATATTAATATGTAGGATTTCAGTCACAAGGTAGAAGTTGAAAATACTTGTACAATGGTACGTGCTCCTACATTTCAGTTTACAGCTATATAATAGGGAGGAGAAATAAAATTGTAGCATAGCTGCAAAACATACAAAAGATTCCGACAAAGTTGAAAGGAAAAGGAAAAATATATGAAATGCGTTAGATGTTGTTGTTAAAGTGTTTTTCTTTCCAGATGCCTGGAAAGAGATGAGATATGACTAGAAAAGAATAAACATATCTGTGATGGCCTCAAGAATTGTACAGTGATTTTATCGTCTTTAAACTTAGTTTTAGTTTCAATTTAGAAATTTCTCATTTGCAAAATGTTGGCTCTTATTTAAATTTAAAATCATACCAAGGTCATTAAAGACCTTTAATGCAATTACTTAAATTCTGGTGAGAAACACGGTAATATTAAATTATATTAATCTAACCAATTATTATGATTTAGATCATTACTGTCACTTCTCCCTTCCATTTCCTTACCAGAATGCAAATCCGGTTATTTAAGTCAAGTTTGTTGGATTGTACAATGGAGCATGTTTCTGCATCTCGAGGCCATGTTATTAGGTTTTGCTAACTCAAATAAGATTGTACTCTTCAACCTACATTATAATTACCAAAATTTAAATTGTTACACCTGTGAGAAGTTTTGAGTCAACTTTGCATGAAATCAATTGTGTAGCTTTTGGCTACTAGATTTATTTTAAAATTGGAAATTGATTGTTACCTTATGTTATATTACCACAAGTGGCTAGCTGATTGTGTTTAGCATTTTTATTCCAAGTTCTGATTAGAAGTCTTATTTTTTAATCTTCTCAAATCTTTGCTGTTACCTTGAGACACAGCGATAATTTGCTTTAAGTCAATTAGGAGTTTGGATACCAATTTGTGTTCAAAGAATACCAAACTCTATAACTGATGGAACTCATATAGGATAGAAAAATGAATTGCAACCTTTTGCTGTAGTTTTTTTATGTAGTGTAATGATAATTGAGAAAAAATAAGAAAATTTGAGACCTTGGATTAAATCAGTAGAAATACCAGAAGCTTTGAAAAATGGTCAATTTGGAAAAATTTCGTCAAAGCCCATGATTGATAAATTTCAAAAACTTCTAAATTTTAAATGCTGTCTTAATTATAGCAATATGAAATAAGAAAAATGCTCTTTAAAGAGAAATTATCTGAATTATGGTACAGCATACTAGAACTACCTACTTTTCCCGTAACTCTAATGCCAGTCAGTGACTTTAATAAAATGAAGAACTTGTTAACACAAACTGGTCCATATTTTTCAGGATATAAATTGAAACCTAGATATAATAATTAAAGTATTTTGGTTTCCTTATATTATTTAGTTTGAACACTAAATATGTTTTGTAATTAGGGTGCAGACCTATTTCAATGCTCCTAAATGTACCACCAAGTTTCAATTCATTTTTAATATTAAAGGGCACCCTTTCTGTGTCACAGAGGATATATGTGACCTTTACAAAAGTCAAAAGGGTGTTGACATTTTTATGTTTTTAAACTATATCATAATTAAATCAATAATATCCAAATTCCAACTGTATTTAATGTTTTCTATATAAAGAAATTATTACTACATAACAAACAATTTGAATTTTATAACCCTTTGTTTTAACAAAAAACTTACTTTTTTTCTCTTTCAAATTTTTTGCAGAATTCTGAAACACTTTTCAATTTAGCTAAGTCCAGAGGTAAAAAATGTAAGTTTGAATTTGGCTGAAAATAATAATGTTGAAATTAAAAAAGCATGCATAATAAATTAGTCATGAATTTTATTTACCTTATCATATTACAAAATAATACAGTATTATGTATTAAATTCTGATGACCTAATATTAAGATTTGTGTGTAAAAATTAGTTGAGCTTGATAGTCACAGAAATAAGTTTCCATAAGATTTGCATAAATCTTCATAGAATTTTATTTATTTATTTGATTTCTCAGCTGTTTCAAACAAAATTATAGAACTATACTATGAATTTCTTTACATCATTTTGATAGTAACTAAATAACAAAAGTATAAATCATATTTATTAGGTTTAATAATCTGTCAAAAAATTAATCAGTCATATTTTCACTACAACAGCAAAGGTATAGAAATTAATATTTTGTAACCAAACAACTCATTTGCACACAGAGAGAAAACATTAAAATTTCTATTCACTGAATTTGATACACAATTTTTTACATTGCATAAAAAAAAGGTTTTCGTTAAGCAGATTTGCTTTATGCAGAATAAATTCTACCTTTATAAACTACATTTTATCATAAAAATAAGGATACATAATTTATTACTGAAAATGTATGAAACTATATGTTCTCTATTCAGACTCTCAGGAAAATTATAATTCTAAAGGAAATTAGCATACATATACTACAAATATATGAAAATACAAAACTACTTATGTAACAAGCCAATAATTATACAATCAAGATCCAATTTAGCTGTTCTGAATGATTGACAATTTGAACACTGATGACTCGAAATAGTCATTATATTAAATTATATTTGCTTGCATTAAGAAACTATAATTAAACAGCTTTTTTCAAAAAAATCATTTATGGATAGATAAATAAATAGATAAATAAAGTGAGAGAAACTCTCTGATTTGACAATTCAGATTGTCAGACTAATTTGATCTTCTTAAGAGGTGGTGTTCTTAGAAAGGTCAGATTTAATACTGGTGTTTATATTATTAGAAATACTGATCATTTTCAGAGATGGTCTTTAAGGTAGGTAGTTTCCATGAGAAAAATTACGGCAAGGATAAAAATAATTACAATAACCAATATATTCCACTTAATTACAATAACCAATATATTCCACTTAAAATGAGTGCAATAATTTTTAATGCATCATATCTCATCTCAAGTGCAGGAAAATACAGAAGATGATCTTGCTTTTCCGAAATACAAATATACACTTTATGAATGAATTACATAATTACCAAGATATTTCTTGGGAAAATTTAACATGATGAATCAATTTTAATATATTCAAATGATGGGCAAAACTTCTCCTTACTCTTTCCTTGCAAATTATATCCATAGCATCTCTTGCTTTTTCTCTATCTCGACATGCAAAATATACTTCACATCCATGATATGCCAGTGCTCTGGCTGTTTCAAATCCTAAATATAAAAGATGTACTTATATTTGCACTGAATTATGAATAACATGAATAACATTTCAGGAGAATTTGCCATAAATATTTAAACTTTAATTACTAAGCTGATCCAGAAAGTAAGTATCATTTGCACATATCTCTTGTGCATCTGACAGAACAAAGGTCTTGCATGCATATTTACATTGTTCAACTGAAGAATAAATTAGCCAAGACATTTTCTTTGTTTATATTAATCTTTGAAGTCATTGTTTGTTGGAAATCATGTTTAAAACAATTTATTGGCCCACCAGCTGTGAAATAAGAGCTATTATCAAGTTTCTGAATATGAGAAATGTTCGACCTTGTGAAATTTATCATCAAGATAAGTGAAACTTATGCAGAGAACGTGATGAGTAAAGGTTGGTGATTTCTTTTCTTCAATTACAGATGCTAACTTTGGATCACTATATGTAGTTTCTGATTTACATGACTGAAAAGGTACAGTATATGATTTTATTCTTGATATAGAAGATACTAAGAAAATTAGTTAAATACTTAAAACACAGAGAAAAATTGATGCACATTAGATAATGATAAATATACAGTTAATAAGTGATAATTTTACACAGACATATTGCAATTTACAGAAATAATCAGAAACAGCATTTTTTAAACAAATTTAATTTACTTTATGTGTAACTTTTAGGGCAATTAAATTTTATAAGCTTTTATCAAAAAATAAATAGACATGCCCATCAAAATTACAAATGACAATATAATAAATTAATAATAGGTATGGCATGAAAGTAGATTAGGATATTTAATGAAAGAAGGGAAAATGTCCATAACAATGAGCATAATGGATGCTCGTCACTGATCACTGATGAACCGGTGCTGCATTGACAAAAAAGTTTGTACCGATAGCTGATTCACGATTTCTGATTTGTCAATGAATTTTCAAAATATTTCCTGATCTTTATTACGTGAAATTGTGATGGAACATTTGCACTACAAAAAGCTGTGTTTGCTATGAGTACCAAAAACACAATTGGACATTTGAAAATGGAATTGCATGACAGTAGACTTGTTTTTCAGCACTATGTGACAGAAGAAAAAAAAAAAACTGTGGGGGGGAGGGATTGTCACAGGTGACAAAATATGATTTGTTAAGAGACACCTGAAATGATACAACAATCACTTGGATAATGGCATACTAGTCTCCTGAAACCTAAGAAGGCAAAGTCACATCTTTCTTCAAGAAAAATTATATGCACCATGTTTTGGGAATGTCAAGGAATATTGTTAGTGAACTGGATGGAATGAGGCACAATCAACATTACAGCTTACTGTGAAGCTGAAAAAGTTACAGCACGTGATACAGAACAAAAGGTGTGGACTATTGACTTCTGGTATTGAGTTTGTGCATAACAACATGCAACTGCATACTTCACAGGTAACAATGTTGCTGCTTGATCATTTCACGAGGAACAATTTCATCATCCTCCTTATGGTCCAGACCTACCGCCATGTTACAGTTTATTTAGCTGGCCACGAGAGGGTGCAGCTTTTTTACTTTTAGCTTGTTATATTTTTCTTACTGCAAGCATACAATTGTTGTACATAGCTGTAAACAAAGCTTCTGTGTGATAAAAATGGAAAAGAATTCCAAACATTCTTGAGGATATGCATCAAGAAAGGTAAGCAAAAGATCATTTATCAAATGTTGTTAAATGTAAAAAATAAGAATAAGAAAATACAAATAAGAGAAAGGATCATAAATTGCAACATGGTGCTGAAATTCCGAGATAATAGTGATCTTTAGATATATTATGATTTAAGTATTATTGTTCAATTAGTGATTGAATATTGATTATTAAGATGGATAAGTTAAAAGCACTAAAAAAGAAGCGAGGAATGCTAAGAGCATCAGTAACAAGACTAACAGCTAAAATGAAAAAGGAAGTAGAAACAGATAATATTAAATTTGATTTATTAGAAGATGATTTATCCATCTTAAATGAAAATTAAAATGATATACTTATACTGAACACTGAAATCAAATCTATCATAAAAGATAAAAAAGAGTACAAAATTGAAATACAGGATAGCTTGGAATATAAAAATAAAATTATCTTGTGCAAATCGAAGATCAGTAGAATATTTAGAAATAGAAAATGTATTAAATTAAATGAGATGCTATCTAATTCTTCTACTATAGATATGGTAGAGAACACAAATACGAATGGCGCTAAACTTTTGAAACTAACCATAAATAAATTTAAAGGCGAAATATGTGAATTTCAAAGTTTTTGGGCTCAATATGAATCTGCTATACATAATAACTCTGCTTTAATGTAGACCTCAATTATCTTTTACTAATGGATACAGCTTTAATGTCAATAAAGGGATCACCCGTTAGTTGCTGAAAATTATGCTAAGGCAATAAATATTCTGGAAAGAAAGGTTTGGTAGAAAGAAAATTTTAATAAACACACATATGAATTGTCTTCTGAATTAAAAGCCAGGGGGAAAAAATGGATGATATTAAAACATTACACAACTTATATGATAGTTTGGAAATTGAAATTAGAAGCCTTGATTCTCTTAATGTTACTTCGAATTCTTACAGCTATTTGTTATGCCCACTGTTAATAAGAATACTTCCTAGAGAATTAGTTTTAGAGTTTAATCGATCATTAACCCCTGACACAGAAACTACAGTGGCTAACATTTTGGAATTTCTCAAGAAAGAAGTTGAAAGCAGAGAGCATACATTTTTCCAAACATCGCCAACTTAGTCCGAGTTTAACATCAGAGCCGAACAACATAAACATCAATCGTGAGACCTTATTAAAAGTGAAAAATATCATACTGCCTTCAAAAACAAACATTTTGTTCCAGCAGTAGCGTCGTTGAATACGAATACGTCAACAGCCGATTGTATATTTTGTCGGAAGATAGAAAGAAAGTGAATCTTTGAAACATTCTACTTAAAATTGCATAATTCCAATTGAAGAGAAAAGAAATTAAGAATAGTGGCAGGTGCTATTTATGTTTTCATAAGGCTCATACGTCAGCCCATTGCAGCTCGGATATACGCTGTGATTTATGTTCATTAAGGCTTAATACTATTTTACATGATAATAAATTTGAAAATAAACGGGAAAATAAAGGTGAGCTTAAACAGACACAGTGGTGGCATCAATTTCGGAGAGAGATAACAAAAATAGGGCTTATTTACAAACTGCAAATGCAATAGCTTTAGGTCAAAATAGAAGAAAAAAATGTAAGACTCATTTTTGATTCTGCCTCTCATAAATCTTTCATCCTGACAAAAATATCAAAACAGGTTATTCTTAAAGATATATGTGGACCTGGGAAAATAATAATTGAAGCTCTTGAAACTCCAGAAATTAACCAAGCTGTTATTGGCATGCCAGGAAAGGAAATACTTAATTATTGTAAGGAAAATTCGATAAGACTTGCTGATGCTACAGATATAGGTGTCCATAACTCTCAAATATCAGTATTAATTGGTAATGATTATTACTGGAAAATAGTCACTGGGAAGGTTAAAAGATTATCAAAGGGTCTTGTTGCCTCTGAAACCTTATTTGGTTACACTATAAGTGGAACTGAGCATTAAGTAATGTTTCTACACTTCATTCCGGAATTATGGTAATGAATGTTGTTGAGAATAGTTCGCATGCACATGATTTGAAAATTAATGCAGCTCTAAAAAGGCTATGGGATTTAGATGCAATTGGAATACATGACTATTCAACAAATGAAAATGATGCTGAAGTTATGCAGAGATTTGAAGAAACTATTGAATATAAAACCAATCGTTATGAAGTTTCATTACCTTGAAAGGACAATGTCAACAAAATGGGCAGTAATTGTAACATCGGCTTAAATAGATGGAGCTGTTTACCGTAATTTCCAGAAGAAACGCTGCGGCATTTACATGTTTAAAACTTAAATTTTCAGCGGGTGCGGCGTTTAGGTGCACTAAAAATAAAATATTTCCTTTGATGGTCATTGTGCATAGTTTGAATAACTTTGTCATTGTACATAGTTTGGATAGCGTTGTCATTGTACATAGACCACTCAGTTGTTCCAACATAAAAGACCACTCAGTTGTTCCAACACAAAAGACCACTCAGTTGCTTTTTGCGAACGTTATTTTGTTTACATTCTTTCATTTGAACAGACCTACATGCCTTATTCACCCTAAACGGGATCTCAGAACAATAACATTCTTCCCCCTTTGAAATGAGCATTCTCATCATTTTGAATAGTCTCTCTCCTCTGCTATTCGATAAATCTTCCAGGAACCATCCTCTCTCCACCCCTGCCTTTTCTGCAATTTTTTTCAAAGGCGGACACGACTCCACCTGCCTCGCAATAACGAACTCTGACGTATTTCCCCTTCAACATGAATCGATTTTTCTTGGCATTCTGCCAAATACAGACCCCATCAGTTTGGGTACAAGTACTTGTTGAATAGTTTTTAACTTAACTTGTTGGACAGTTTTTAACTTTAAGTACAAGTACTTGTTGGATAGTTTTTAAGTAGCAGAAGGGAGTAGAAAAATTTTGGCACCTAAATGGCACAGAAGCTATACTGCTGGTTTTAACCTTAATATAATTTCACGTGTGCTGAACAAATTGAAAATAGAGCAGCAGCTCGAGAGTTTGAAGTGGATGAGAGATGTATTTGAATTTGACGTTGGAGAACTGAAAAAGAAGAACTTAAAAAATATGCCACAACAGAAATGAGCCAAAAGAAGTGGTACTGTAAGGTAGGCCGAAATCTAGAGGAAGACCTTGCAAACTGGATATAAGGAGTAACAAGGAAAGGGAATGGCAATTTCGAATGTAAAAATTCGCTTACTAAGCAAAATTTATAGCAAAACAAATGAACATAAATGATTTCAAAGGAGGGCCTTGCTGGTGTAGCAGATTTATGAAAAGAAAAAATATTTCTCTGCGTACTAGAACAACAGTCGGGATTGCCAATGG